ACTAGGGACAGACCAGTGGTTTTCATGGTTGCCAGGAACAGCCTGGGTCAAACAGCTGTTGTTCCTGTTGTTGTGTGGGGTAGAGGAATAGCCTTCATCCCCTGTGTGATCCCTCTACTCAGACAACTGGTTATGTGGTAAATAAAGCACATAAGGATTCAGAAAGAACTGATTGTCTTAGGAGGACCTTTGGGAAGGAGGCCTTCCCAAGGTCCTCGAGGGGGGAATGAAGGATCAGATGATGGAATGTATGTACAGATGAGACCCTGGGGATCAGAGGAAGGGTCACATGTGGAGATAGGACCCAGGTGTGGATGGAATGGACATGAGAGTGAGGAATATGAATTCTGATAAAACATTTTCTATTGTCTTTATTTCTTTGCCTTACAACAAACAATTAATAACTTTGCTCTTTCCTGTCTTCTCTCTCATTAGAAGGAGGCGGGAGCCACGGGGGAGTGGGGGTGCTGCCTTGAGACAAAACTGTTTGTTGTTTTATTCTGCTCTGCAATAGGAAGGGGGGGGGCTGCATAGTCGTAGCAAGACATAAGTTAGCACCTTACCTGTTACAAAACCACTAGCCAGGATATTAGACACAAGAATAACCCCAAAACCACATAGCTGGTACACTTTGCAAGATACCCATGACCTGGGGTGAAAAACAGGTGACACAACATTTAGCTATTTAGCGTAAAACGTTTAGGGGGGCTGAAATCCAAATGGTTATTTGATTGGTTAATCAATATGATCTGTTATGCATGCATTATTAGGGGAAGGGCAAAGGATTGAATGCAACAACTCCTTGACTATAAAAATAGCTGTAAGGTTCTTATCTGGGCCCTTGGTTAGCTTTTCGAACTGGGGTCCTTATATCTTGGTACCAAAATAAAAGTGTAATTCTGTATCACATCTTGTGTCCGGTGACTTATAGGCTTCAACACCAAGCAAGAGCCCAGTTTTGGGGACCACACCATCTCGCCACAGCCAACTTGCCAGGGACAACTCACTGTGGGACAAGACTAATATCAAAGAAATGGTGGAATAGAATCATTAAAGGATGCAAAACGAGGGACAAATTGTAATGTGAGTGACAAAAATTAAAATAATTTTTATTTATTTTAAATAATTAAATTGAATTGTTAAATTGTCCCACAGCAAGTTGTCCTGTGGCGTAAGTTGGCTATGGCAAGTTGGCTGCAGCGAGTTGGCCTCGGCAAGTTGCCCCATTCCGACCACGGGATGGTCAAATAGGTGCTCCTGCAACCCTTTTCACCCTGTTCCTTCATTTCTAGGCTTCAGTAGTCATCTCCCACCTGCACCAGAGTGTTCATATGTTCTCCTGACTCACCTCTTACCGTCAATGTTCTCCCGGTCACTGATGTGCTGGAGGTTGCAACTGAGCTCGGTGTCGGGCTGGAAGGACTCCAGCTGTGAATGGTCATTGCTCGGCAGTTTGGGGCTGGACGAGTCGCAGCAGGAGGTTGTGTTCCCCATCTTCCCTGCTGCTGGGCCCGGCCAGCCAGCCAAGGGAGGCTGGATCCAGGCGGAGAAGAGGAGCAGGAGTGAAGGAGGTGGAGCGGGGAGGGGAAACCAAAAGGGAAGGAAGGCGGCAGCTACAAGAGTCACAAGCGGTGGTGGGAAGCCATAAGCGGGGCAGAAAACCACCGCCTCCGCTGGGGGACAAGGGGGTGGCAATGGTGGGGACAGTGGCTCTGGCTTCCATCCGCCATGCTGCCTGGCTGCTGCTCTACCCACAGGTTCATGCAACCCCCATGTGCCGGTAGTGGCATGCAATGCTGCAAAGTCAGGATATGCTGGTCATTGTACAAGCTGCCTTAGCATCGTGCAGCCTTACCACTATGGCCAGCCGTTTTTCCCTCCTCGGCTGGCCAGGGGCAGTGGTTTCCCTTAGCTTCCAGCCAGTGGCCTGCAGGAAAGAGGGGGAAGAGGAGGAGCAGTGCCGGAGAGACTCCTGAACAAAAAAGGGGGATCACATGCTTCAAGATGTTGGGTGAAGAAGAAAAAAGGGCCAAGATGTTGAAAGTCCCTGGTTTTATGCCCTCTCTGGCCTTTGATCTTGANTTTAAAAAAAAAATGTATTGTCAATTTTAATTGGGTTTGGGATATTCCATTTAATTTTTTTTTTTTTTACTTTTGTATTATGTGTTTCTTTTAATGTTGTACGCCGCCCTGAGTCCTTGGGAGAAGGGCGGCATATAAATCTAATAAATCTCAAATCTCAATCTCAATGCCTAATAACTCCCAGTTCCCTGATGTGTTGGTTTTGTGATTGCAACTGCATCACTGAATTTTGTTGTGGTTCTCATTGCTGTGACTCTTCTCCTGTGTGTGTGGACTGTCAAACTGAGAGTGAGGATTTGGACTGAACTCCTTGAACCTGAACCACAGGAGGACGAAGTTGAGGTTCCTGATTTTAATGCTGAAGAGATCATCACCCTCTCAGACCTAGAGCCATCAGACTACTCTGACTTATTTTCAAATTGGCAGGCATGAGTCCTCTATGGCTTTGTTTGGTGTTTGTGTGTGCCCTGTTGATGGATAGGGTCATGAACAACAGCTGTTGTGAACATGGCCAGTTGCCTACTCCCACCCAAGAGGTGGGCCCTGGAGCTGTTAGGGATCCTGATGGGGGAGGAAAGATCAGGGTCCATGGTTTGGGGTTCTCTGCAACACCAAATGAAGAAAGACTTGAGCCAGTCTCCTCCAGAGGTGGGTTGCTCCCTGTATGGACTGGTACGGGTGTATAGGTAGCGGAAATTGACCCTACCTTTCTGTACCATTGATGATGGTGGCCTGGCCACAGCCCCGTACCGGTATTGTTTCCTGGCCTGAACCTGCTCACTCCCCCCTGGTACCACTCGCTTGCTCGCCCCACCTGTACACACCATGCTTGCCCCATCTGCCTACCCGCCAGCTGCTCACTGAGTCGCTGGCTCGCCGATAGGCCCACCTCTGAGAGCCCTATATATACCACGGTGACCACGCACATTTACTGGCCTGGCTTTTGCGTGACTTGTTGACTTCCTGATCCTCGCTGAGTTCCCAATCCTCTCCTGCCTGCCTGCCCTGCTGCATTACTGCTGTCTCCTGGCAGGACTGCCTAAAGGTAAGTAAGCCTATGGCTGTGACTTCACAAAGCGTGGAGGGTAGGGGGGCAGCATGAACCACTGAGATCGCCAGCGGTCTTTGCAGTCCACGCGAGCCGGGGGACTGGGTGAAGCCTTCCTTGCCGCCAGTCCCCAGGTTTGTGTAGACCGCTCGCTGCTGCCCGCCCGCTCGCCACTCTTCCAACCTGCCACTCCTATGAGGCTCAGCCCAGGTCTGCCAGGGCTTTAACTCGTGGACCTCGCCCACTGGGCACCCTTTTCAGGAGCATCGCAGCTCAGCCTCGCCTCGCCTGGATCCTTTCTGAAGTTAGGAAATGGTGCTTTGCCCCTGGGATGCTACAAAAGCACAAGCTGGGGCGCTTTGTGCAGGCTTGGTGGCAGCAAGACATCTGGTGCCTGTCCCTTCAAGCAGCGGTCCCTTCAAGTGGGGCCTGAACTGGCCACAGGGCAGGCGGGGGGCCTCCGACCACCTCACACCCCAGGGAGTTGCTGTGTCACATTGCAGGCACACGCAACCTCCCCACCACCCCACCGACCTGGGGATGCTTCTGGCTCTGCTGGGTGGCCGCTCCTTCGTGGCTTGTTGCTTGCTGCAGTTGGCTTTCTCCAGGGCAGCTCTGGCCATGTCCGAGTGGGCCCTGGGTTGGTTAGCAGCCCACGCACCATGTGACCGCTCTGGGGGCGCAGCTTACCTTTCAGCCTGTGAAGCCGCACTCGACCCGCTCAGCTCCCGGGGAGGCTTTCCCGGTCGGCCGCCAATTTATAAACAGAAATTAACCATCTTCTTTTAAACTTTCCATTTCAATGAGAATTTAAGAAGTTTTAGAAAAATTCGCATTGAAATGGAAAGTTTAAAAGAAGATGGTTAATTTCTGTTTATAAAGGTCATGTGATGGCTGTGCGTGGGCTGCTGACTGACCCAGCACCCGCCCGGATGTGGCCAGAGTGGCGGGGCTGCCCTGGAGGGGTGCCAGGAGAAAGCAGGGCCATCGAAGGGCCAACTGCAGCCGGCAACGGGATGCGAAGGAGCGGCTGTCCAGCAGAGCCAGGAGTGTCCCCAGGTCAGTGGGGTGGTGGGGAGGTTGTGCAGGGCTGGAGGTGGCAGGGAGGTGGGGTATCAAGGCCAGGAAGGATCACCAGGAGAAAGCCAACTGCAGCCGGCAATGGGACGCAAAGGAGCGGCCATCCAGCAGAGCCGGGAGTGGGCGTCTGGGCGCCTGCAATGGGACACGGCAGCTGCCCGGGGGTGGGAGGTGGTCAGAGGCCCACTGCCCGCCCTGTGGCCAGTTCAGGCCCCACTTGAAGGGACCACCACTTGAAGGAATGGGCGCTGGGGTCCTGGGGGCAATGCACCACTTCCTAACTTAAGAAGGGAGCCGGGCGAGGCGAGGCTGAGCCACGATGCTCCCGAAAAGGCTGCCCGGCAGGTGAGGTTCGGCCCAAAGCCTCTCGTGGGAGCAGCCACAACACATAAATTTTCACAAACTGGAAGGGATGTGTGTGTGAGAGAGAGAGGGGGGGAGAGACAGAGAGAAAGAAAGAGAAAGAGTAAGAGAGAAAGAAAGAGAAAGGAAGGAAGGAAGGGAGAGAGAAAAAAAGAGAGAGACAAAGATAGAAAGAAAGAAAGAAAGAGAAAGAAAGAAAGAAAGAAAGAAAGAAGGAAAGAGAAAGAAAGAAGTAAAGAGAAAGAAAGAAAGTGGGAGAGAGACACACAAGAAAGAAAGAAAGAAAGAAAGAAAGAAAGAAAGAAAGAAAGAAAGAAAGAACTTATGACCACAATTGAGCCCAAAATTTTGGTTGCTAAACAAGAGCATTGTTAAGTGAGTTTCACCACATTTTAAATGTTGGCCACGCCCACCCGGTCTCATGAACGCCAGGCCATGCCCACAAAATAGGCCATGCCCACAGGATAGGTAGTAAAAATTTTTGAAACCCACCACTGGTTCGCTACCCCCGTCGCTGCCGTCACATCTATCATATCGTTCACCACCCCAAACCCAGCCCATCACCTAAACCCAAACTCAAGTTGGACAGAAGGAAGGATATCATCCAGGCTAAAAAAGGGCCTATGGGACATTTGAGGGAAAGGGACTATAAGCTGAAAATTCTGGACATAGCTCAGAGTCTGGTCACCCAATCTGACCCGACTTTAGCCCAACAATGCTGGTTGTGTTTGTCTGCATCCCCATCAGCACACCACGCAGCACCTGTCATGCCTGAACTCTGGGTGAAAACAAATGCCACCATAGCCTTTGAGAGAGGCACCCGTTGGTTTTTTTTGGGTGGGGGGGAATCCTGGCAGATGCAAACCTACATGATGACCTCTATGATAGCTTGGTAAAGTTGAGAGTTAGCCACCTTCCCATCATTGGCCCCATGGCTGTTGGCGTATGCTTTCTGGGGCCACCTTTCTTATGCG